TCAACTTTTTACTCCTGTCTTGACAAAAAGTCTTCTCTTTTCGATCGCCTAGAACAAGCAGCTGATCTTGAATCTGATCTCACTTCAGTAATAGATTAAGGTTCACAGTGGCTTGTGAATTTCAACTCTAAAAAAACCCAGTTGCTTACTGCAAACAACTACCGTAATATGGTCAACATTCCTATATTAATGAATGGCAATCCTCTTACTGAGTCCTCCTCTTTACGTCTTCTTGGATTATCGCTTACTACTGACCTTTCATGGAAACCATATATACAATCGATTGCTAAATTAGCTTCTGCTAAGGTTGCTTCTCTTTATCGTGCTCGTCATTTCCTTACTTCTGATTCCATTCTCTACCTCTACAAATCTCTTATTCGTCCCTGTATGGAATACTGTTGTCATATTTGGGCTGGTTCTTCTAACGATTCACTTTCTCTTCTTGACAAGGTCCAAAAACGCGTTGTAAATGTTGTTGGACCTGGACTATCTGCTAAGCTTGAACCTCTTTCCCATCGTCGTAAAGTTGCATCTCTTTCTCTTTTCTACAGATACTATCATGGTCACTGCTCAAAGGAGTTATCATCTCTAGTTCCATCAACTAAAATTCATTCTCGTTTTACTCGTCATTCAGCTAAGTCTCATTTGTTTACTGTATCTGTCCCTGCATGCTCTAAAAACTTTTATTCATCTAGTTTTTTTCCCCGCACTTCAATCTTTTGGAACTCTCTCCCATCTTTATGTTTTCCTGACTCATACAACCTTCAACTTTTCAAGTCTTCTGTCAACCGTTTCCTTGCTCTATAACTCTGTTCTTTTTTTTCCTAGTAACTCCCAACTTGATAGTGGTTGCTTGCAGCCTTGCAAGAATACAAATAAAAAAAAAAAAAAAAAAAAATGTCTTTTTGAAACTAGTGACGTAACATTTTTTTGTTGTTGTTTGTGAGAACGCTTTCAACAGTTTTATAACAAACATATTTGCTATGCGTATTGTTTATTAAAACATTTTTTTAATTTGAGGTTGCGTTTAGCTTTTTAATAAATACACTTTATTATAAGCTAAGCTCAACTGGTTCAAAGATACCAGTGAAAATATTTAGTTTTATATTAACTTATATTTGACAAAAAAATGTTTGATATTCCAACATTTAAATGTTTTTGAATATTAAATAGTCATTAATTAATAGAATGTGATCGAATATTAAAGTAAAGTTTTAGTTATATGAACTTTTTATGCTGATATTTATAAGATATTTATAAATATTATGCTAAATATTTTTAAATATTACGCTAGATTTTTAATTTTTTAACATTTTAGTTTGGAATTTTCATTGAAGTGTTGCAAGTTTTGATATTTTATAACATGGACTTTTATGAAATTCAAAGTAAAAGTTCCAATTAAGCAAAGTTTTTTGTCAAATGAACCTGAAAAAAATTTATTCAGCAAATGACTTGACCATTATAAAGCTCTATTAGCACTATTAAGCGGATATTATGATAAGGTTCAACTAGAATTAAAAAAAAAACATGCTGGATTTAGCTATCAAATTGAAGAAATTAATCATTTTTAATTTGATTTTATATGGCACAAATTAAAATTGAATTAAATCACAAATAATTTATTGAAGTACTTTATTTATTGACCTACTTTATTACGAATGTAACTTCTTTATTTAACAATATGCATACTCTTTTAAACATAGCTTGACTTCAGCAAAAAATTTTAATAAATTTTTTTCTATAAAATTAACTAATAATTTTCTCCCTCGCAAGTTATTCAGACGAGCGCGATTTTTTATTTATTTGCAACAAAACTAACAAGCGCTTTTTGTTGCGCCCAGAAGGTCGTTTACGGGCGTGTTTCACATGCACGGAGGTCTGATATATATATATATATATATATATATATATATATATATATATATATATATATATATATATATATATATATATTTATATATATATACACACACATATTTAAACCAAACATTAAGTAGTGGTTACATCATTTGTTTCAGAATCAAGAGATCTGAGGTTTAATGCCTGCTATAGCAATTTTTGCAGAATGAAATATGCGCAAACTTCCGACCAAAGTGCTTCTGCAGCGTTCCACCTACATTATTTTTTTAAAAACATCCTTTAATACAAAAATAAAGTACAAATAATAAAGTTTGCAGGATAACTTGAAATGACCTCATAGATCAACAAATAATCCCTTTACAATAACTTAAGTGATAGTTTACCTATTATAATCAGTAAAAGATAGGTTCTCGATATATTTTTTTAAATTGAAAAGCACAGTGTTTTTTTGGTACAGGAACACATAAAGAAAATATAGTTGAAAAAATTAACTGGATTTAACATCAGAATCTATTTGAGCTAGTTGTTGAAAATTTGTCAAAATTTGGTCACAAATCGCTAAAAGTGTAACTTCGAACAACTTGCGCAAATACTTCTTACAAGAAAAAATGAAAAATAAATTTTTTTTTCGCATAAATATGACCTCTATATAGGGATTGCAATCCCGGGCATGAATTATGATCCCGGGATTTCGGGATTGAAGTAAATAAAATCCCGGGATTTATATGTGAGTTATTTGCTAAAAAACAGAACTTAATACTGCATATATGAATATACTTTTTGATGTTATCAATTCTTTATTTAATTTCATTATGTTTTAATGACTTACATTAATTTTCTACGGCGCCTCAAATTGTTTTAATTGTGTAACAGGCAGCAGGTGTATATAAAGATCTTAAAATAATGCAGAAATATATATACGGTACCTTCCATATTATGTTTTAAGATTACAGACTTTACAGAATAACCTTCATTGGAAATTTAAATAACATTTGAACATTCAAAGTGTATTTGACTAAAGTAACTAAACAATCAAAATTTCAAAATAAATTTGTAAACATAAATTTTCTTAAATTTGGGTACCGATGTAGCTACTGTAAGCTACAACAAGCTACTTTGTAAAAAATAACATAATAAGTTGTTTGTTAATATTGAGAGACTAAAGCTGTCATTCGAGCCAGTGTTTTGTCTAAGGTTTTTTTTTTTCGGATGCAAAGTAACTCGTTATTCTTCGTTTCGTAGGAGGCCTCTCGTCGGTTCTGGCATCATTTAACTGTTGACTCGAACTAGGTAATTTTTGTCGGCTAAAGTTACTTTCAAATTATGCTTAGTTGATAAGTGCGTATGAAGGCCTTTTGTAGAACCACCCAATGTTTTCAAAATTACACCACATTTCTTACATTTTGCTGCCAAATTATCCGCAGACTTCAAATAATGTGACCACACTGAAGTTGGGTCTTTATCTTTTTTGTGTAGAAAAAATGATGTTTCCTTTTCACTGTTTTCATTCATGTTTAGAAGGATATTTTTTTAAGTTGCATTAGTAAACAACATATTATTGCGGTAAACAACAAAAGCATTAAAAAGGTTATCAGTTCAAAACGTTCAAAACGATTCATTCCACAGTCAATTTTTGTATGTATTCACACTAGAATTCCTTCAAACGAAATTAATTGTCAAGGGCATTACAATGTTGCAATAACTAATAATTGTACAAATATAATTATACAAATCCCTAGAAATATCCCAAAGGGAATTGTTATGTAGTAATCATTAAATATTTTAGATATAATATTTTTTTTATTACTTGTTCATTTTTATTTTTTTCATTCTCTAATATTTTTTGAAATGAACAAAACGACTTAATAAACTCAAGCAATCACTTAACCACAAATTCGCTCAACAATTTTAAAATTTATCTTTTTAACGCGAGAAGTCTTGCCAACAAACTTAACGATTGTTTTTTATACAATAGTCAAACAAAGCTGCCTTAATTTGTGTTTGTGAAACTTTTTCAATGATAAAATCCCGAACTCCATGGTCTATTCAAAAATTTGTTCCATTTATCGTAAGGATAAAGCACAAACAGGATAAACCTGCAAAGCAGCATTATAGTGGTTCCAAGTGGTTCCGAGATCCCAGGATTGCAATCCCTACCTCTATACCAGTCATGAGCCACTCCGTATAAAAATTGGTTGTCAAAGAAAAATTATGGGAGTATACATATATATGAAACACACTAAACATTTTGTTTTAATATTGTAATTTGTTTTGGTATTATATATCTATATAGTAATACTGAAAAAGAAAAAAATGCGAGAAAGAGTCACAGCACTTTTTTTTATTAGAAAATGTGAGCAAAAATGTATCCAAATATCTAACTTAATGTCGTTGATGTAATGTTCAAACATATATCAAGTTTTACGGTTTAACTTTTACTTGAAAATTGAATTGCAGCAATATCTCCCTTATTTTGATCTATAGCATTTATCTGCCAGTTTATAAAGTTTTTTGTTCGTTAAATAGTTTTCACATATCAATCAGACAGCCTGTGTGACCGAGTGGTAGCTCGTGGAGTTTCAAATGCAAAATGCCATGGTTTGAATCACAGGAATTTTTTTTTTCTTAAATTTATTTTTGATTTTTCTAACATACAAAAAAAAAAACACTTTTGAAGTTTTATAGATATTATATACAAAACATGTAAAGATATTATATACTGTAAGAAATAAAAGATAAAAAATTTTTATAAAAAAGCTTATTAAAAAAAAAAAAAAACTTATAAGCCCTTCCTGCTACTCGAGAAGGTGCTGCTGATAAATATATACACCTAGATTGAAAAATTGAAAATGTTTTGTAATAAGGGTCAGATTTGACATACCTTGCTCCCTGTGACCTGTTTTCTAGTCCTCTTTTGTTTTGTAACTTTGATATAGTCTTGATGAATGGTTGAAATTCTATTTTCTAAGCATTGAGCTTTAAAAAACGCTGCAAGAAATATCATGCAGCTGCCATTTATGTTAGAGATACTTATGTTAAGTGTTTATGCAATCAATAAGATTAATCTGCACATCTAGGGTATTAAAAAGGTAATTTTTTTTCTATAAAGTGCTTTTAAAGTATAACTATATAATTTTTAGATGCTTCAAAGGCAAAAACCTTCTATTTCTGTTGTTGATAATGCACAGAAAGAAACAAACAATAAGAGAAAACTTCCAAAGCTGGAAGATTTTTTGGAGAAACGCGACTACACTGGAGCTGTCACTCTGCTTGAGGTATGTTTTCCTGAATCATCAAAGTATATAAGGAAAAAAAAAATATTTTATAAAAAATAAAAGTTAATTTTTTATTATTTATTGTTTTATAATCAATTTTGTCAAAAAACATTATTGTCTCTAAGTAAAAAAGCATCTGTCTCTAAGTAAAAAAGCATCTGTCTCTAAGCAAAAAAGCATCTGTCTCTAAGCAAAAAAGCATCTGTCTCTAAGCAAAAAAGCATCTGTCTCTAAGCAAAAAAGCATCTGTCTCTAAGCAAAAAACAAAACACCATGGATAAATCAATTTAAAAATTTTTAGATTTGAGTTCTAAGTTTTTTGCACAAAAAAAGTTAAAATGATTTGTTTGCAGTTAGCTTGCTTAATTTTGTATATTTTTTGAAATAGAATTAAGCTATATAAAAGTATATTACTGTATTTATAAAAGCTTTCGTCAAGTAACAATTACTATTATTTTCTAAACAATATACCTTATCAGCTTTTAACTAGAGTCTGAAAAAGAATTATGTGATTTTAATTTTTAATTATTTCCCCCAATATTTGTGATATTAATTATATATTTTTTAAAGATTTACTTTTTTTTCCTCTATAAAAGTTTTGGGGAGATAATTAAGAATTTTTAATAGACATCCATTATTGGTTAAAGACTCTACAATAATACAATAAAAATTTGTAAGGAATATTTTTTTTACCATAAAAACTTTTACATCAATATAAAATCAATTTTTTTGAAATCAAGTTTCAATATCACAAAATAATTTGGGTCATTGCAGTTTATGATTGCTTTATTCACCCCTTGCAGTAATAAATTTCCTTATAATGTGTAATTGTTATGGGAATCACTAACACATTATAACAGAGACCAAAAATCCAAATTATAATGTACCAAAAATCCAAATTATAATGTATTTTATGGTTACAAATAGTTTTTTTATATTTATTAAATGTAAATTTTTAGTTTACAAGACAAGCTGGGAAAGAAAGTGATGAAATTGGATTGTGGATAGCATATTCATTGTTTCATTCAGGTGAATATGAAAGGGCTATGAAGGTATGATTATTTTAAAGATAGCTTTTATAATAGTGACTGACTAAGTTACAGGGTTTATCCCTGGTCTCAATTCAACCATCCTTATTTGATGGGATCAGAAACCATTTGAAAAATTGAAATCAGTTTAGAAAAGTATATCATTATCATAATAGTTTGATTTTGATAAAAAATTGATTTTTTGTAAAAAATCCCAACATGTAAAAAGCTGTCAAGGAAGCTACTTTATTGTGGTTGCAACCCTCTCTCAACTCTTTAACCTTGACAAAAAACGCTGTGGAGGAGCAGTTGTTTGGAGGAACAAGTTGAGCACGGTACTATCAGGTACTTGGTGGGAATCAAACTCAGAACTTCTCGCTTATGAAGTGAGCGTTCATTACTACAGCTTTCTGCATCCTTCATGTATCATTTAAAAAAAGACTTTAAATGTAACTATACTGTTTATCATTAACAATTTTATGCAAGCTTATATAGGATTATCAAACTAACATATAAATTAATAAAATAAATATGAATAACAAATGGGTTAAGAAGAAAGTAGAAAAAAAAAATTAAATAGAAAGTTTGTGTGCCTAGTTTTTCACAATACTTTCTGTTATATTTTTTGTTTCTAAATTAAAGAATTTTTTTTTTTGAAATTTGCATATTTTACTTCTACATAGATAAATAGATTTTAAATAGATTCAAATAATAAAATATTTGGTGAGTTTTTTTATATCCTCATAAATACTTAGATATTGTATTTATTTATAAAGGAAATCATTTATTTTATTGTTAATTCATAAAAAATTTAACAGAATTGTGTGGTATTAAATGTTTCTAATTTTAAAAGCCATACTGAAAAAATAGAAAGTATGTGGAATGGCTGGAGAATTTTTTTTCTGAAAAGTTAACTAAATTGCTTGCAATCTTTCACCTTCTGGTGAGAGATAATGCAAGCAATATAGTTAATGGAAATAATCTAGCTAAATTTCTTTTAATCCACTGCACTATTCATTGACTTTTTTGAATTCATTGAATTATCTCAGATTCGATGGGAATAATCTAGCTGAATTTCTCTTAATCCTTTGCACTATTCATTGACTTTAATTATCTTAGATTCGATCATGGTTTAAAAAGATATTCTTTTAAAATGTTGATGACCTGTAACCCATTCAATGCAGGTTACAACTTTAAGCAAATTTAGCTGCAACAAAGTCTTGACACTCTTCATCTTGTTTAAGATGTCCTGCAACTGTTTATAGAATCAGCCTCTCTAAGAGCTATCACAGAGTTCAGGAATCTTTACTAACAACTGACCTCAAAACATTTGGAGATAACAGAAATACTTGCATTGCCACAGGCATTGAGGCAGAAGCAAAAATCCACTAGAAAAAAAAAAGAACCAGCGTTCATCATCCTAGAAAGTAAAATATGAAGCACAAATTTACATCTATGTCTACGCTAACGAAGGCTAGAAGAAGTTATTATTCTAGACTTTGTGTAGAAAAGCGAATTCTTTACGGCAGCAGGACATGAGGCAAGTTGTACTTGATTTGTTGTACTGATTTGTTGATTTGTTGTACTGATTGTATTGATGTTGTATTGATGTTGTATGTTGTATGTTGTATGTTGGATGTTGTATGTTGATATGATGTTTTATTGATGTTGTATTGATGTTGTATTGATGTTGTATTGATTATTGATGTTGTATTGATGTTGTATTGATGTTGATTTGTTGTACTGATTTGTGATTTGAGGCAAGTTGTACTTGATTTCATGTTATTAGTAAGATGATGATAACAATGTTAGTTCTGACCTTAAGTTATCAAAACAATGAGATTTTTTTTAAAAATAGTATTTTAGTGTTTGTGGCATGCATGGGATGTATGGGGGAGTTTACATTACAAAACACAGGTAAGTTTATCGTTACATAATTTAAATGTTAGTTTAGTTATACCAGTTTTCACTGGTTTTTTAAAACAAGTTCTGAATCCTGTTTGTTGTTAAAGACATGTGGAAATGTTTTTACTTTATAAGCGCATCAGAATATTATTGAAAAGCAATATAAAACATTATTCAGGATATCTGGCAAATCTTATGTATACTTAAGTATATTTAAAATTCATTTAAATAAAGTTTCTTCATATCTGCAAGTCAAACTACTTCATCCTAAAAGTGGTTGAAAATCACCAACATCCTTTGACTAGCTAAATATTTGTTAACTGTTTTCTTAAAAATATCCTTCTATTATTTAAAGCACATACTATTGTTGATAATGAACATAACCTTTGCAAAATATAAAATTTAGAGTTTAGCATTTGAAAATTACAAAAAATACTTGTGATTATTTTGTAGAAATATATACATCAGTTTTAACAAAATCTGTTAATTATGGTTTTTTTTTATTTAACTTTTTAATTGTTATAAAATGTTTAGCATATTAAATGTGAAATAATATTTTTTAGTGTAAATTTTTACTTCTCATTTAAAAAAAGGTGTTATCAATGTTGATTTAATCATGTGGCCAAGTTTAAGTTTTATCAGACCCAGACTAAGCCCTGGTTAGTTAGTAATATCTGGCCTCAGTCAGTCACTATTATTTATGAAAAATAAATTTCATTTTTTTTAAATGAAAAATCATAGTGACATGTTTTCACAGAAAATATTTTTGAAAAGGAGTATCAAGCTATTTTGAAGAAAAAAAATAATCAGCCAGATGTGATGTGCAATCTTGCATGCTGTTATTTTATGTTGGGAATGTATAAAGAAGCTCAACAGGCACTGTCAAACAGTACGTAATTTATTTTATAAAGTGTTAAAATTTTGGTTTATTTGTTGCAAAATAATTTTTTTTTATTACCTATATGTTGTATAAAAATATGTTTGTAACTAATTTAAATAAGGTAGTTAACATGAGGATCATCCAGAAGTGTCAACTCTTATCATAAAATCAGCTCACTTTATTATTAGTAAATCTTGTTCTACTATTGAAAAAATTTGATAATGAAAAATTTACAGTTTTATCATTAATAAATTTGGTTACAGAAGTTGTGGTATTTGGAGAAATATGATAAATATATTAAAGCAAAACTTTTATTTAAAAAGTATATTTCACATCAACCCTCAGAATTAGGGTCGGCATTGCCAAATGCCGACCCTAATTCTGAGGGTGCTGATCTCAAACACTTCTAATTCTAGAAGTGTTTGAGATCAGCAAAAATTTGCCAACCTCGTTTCTATGTTTTATGACCAAACCTTTGTTTTGCATTTTTTCTGCCAACCTGATGCCGACCTCACTCAGATTACTTGCCAACCTTAATTTTTCTAATTGCAAGGGCTGCCACATTTTGCTTCAAAAAATAATTGGAATATATAGAAATAATTGATCAATAAATTTCACTATTTTGTAAGATGATTTTTTTTATTAGTACAATAATAAATACATATATAACATTTTACAAACTTTGTATTGGTCATGAGGAATAATTGTGCTAATTATTCTATTACTAACCTAATCATGCCATAGCAAACAATTTTAAGTTCAAAAGTAACCTTTATCTAAATGTGACGTGTTATATGAAAAATTGAGCTCTCAAGCATATGGTTCTATTACTTAGAAGTGTTTTTAGTGAAATTTCATAAATAAAGAAAAATTCACACTTGCATATTGTATTTTTTTTAGTTTCTTATTTAAAAAAAGTTAAAAGTATGATTAAAAAATAACTAAGTAATTGTATTTTTAGTATAGCCCATATTTTTAAATAGCACATAACGTAATATCAAAGAGTGGCTTACTTTCAATTAAAAAGCGACAAATGAAAAAAAAAAAATTAGTTACTTTTTTTTAATGATGGTTAAATGTTAGAGCAACATTATTTTGCTATTTAAAGTAATTTTAACTAAAAATGATCTATCCTTTTAAAGAGGTGGCTTATAAAAAAATTGCATTTAAACTTAAATAAAATTAAAAAAAAATAATAATAAAATAGTATAAAGTTGAATTGATAAAATCTTTTTTTCTTGTTTTAGTAAAGAAGACTGATCTTTCTAATCGCCTTGCATTTCATTTATCTCACAAAGTATGAGAAGATTTTAATTTTTTCAATAATCAAAATTTATTGATAATTTAAAAAGTTTTCAAACATTATTTGGTTATAGTTCAATGATGAAAGTAACCTAATGAGTCATCATTCACAACTGCAAGATGTTATCGAAGACCAGGTTGTTTTGTCTTTTTCAGTCTGGAAATAATTTAATAAATATTTTTTTAAATTTTGCATTTGTAACATTTTATTTTTTCGAAGTTTAAATTATTATCAATTTAGTTATTTGCCAACAGCTTGTTGCTAATGACAACAGCTAATTAAATTTGATAAATTAATAAATATATTTTTTTATGATACTTATTAAGAGTAATTTTTTTATAAAAATAAGGCAAGTTAAAATAGTTGAGTTTTGAGAATTTTCTTGAAAATTTCAGGGATATCTTTAACACGTTCACGCCGGCGTGTACCACCGGTGGTACACACTAGTCTGTCTCACACGCCGCCCAATGAGACAGTCTAGTGTGTACCACCGGTGGTACACGCCGGCGTGAATAATTTAAAGCAGTTCAAAAATTATTTGGTTTGAAGTTTCATAAAATGTTGACTTTTTTCAAAGTTTTCCATGTTTCTATGTAGTAACTTTATGCAGTTAAAAAAGTTGTTTGAAATAAGAGGAAATTCTGAGTTTTTTCAAAGTTTTCCATGTTTCTATGTAGTAACTTTATGCAGTTAAAAAAGTTGTTTGAAATAAGAGGAAATGCTGAGTTTTTTCAAAGTTTTCCATGTTTCTATGTAGTAACTTTATGCAGTTAAAAAAGTTGTTTGAAATAAGAGGAAATGTTGAGTTTTTATAAACGAATATAATATCAAGTTTTATACATTAAGGAAAAAAATTTAGTTTTTAAAATATTTGCAATATACTTTTTCCCATTACCCATAATTACCCCAGGGCCATTCAATAACGCAAATTCTGTACTTTTGAGCACCAAGTCTCTTGTTAATCACGGCTTGTATTAGTATGTTAAAAGTTTTTAAGAAAGAAAATCTTTTTTTTACTGTAAATTCAGTCAAACTAATTTTTAATTCAATTTCAGTCTAAAAATCATGTCTCAAAACCTCGCCTGCTCAATTTCAGTCTAAAAATCATGTCTCAAAACTTCACCTGCTACTCACATGTCTCAAAACCTCACCTAATCGGTAGTTAATAAATCAAATTTTTCAATTTTGTTTTATCTCTGGTAGTTGTTTATTATTTGAAATTTGTTTCTTTGTTAACCCTGAATTCAAATATCTTATTTATTTTAGCTATAAAAAGCTAAAATAAATAAGATATTTGAATTCTTATTTATTATAAAATTTATGTTTTAAATAAATTATTTAATACCTTTAAAAAATATAAAAATAATTACCTTAATTTTTTTATTAGTGTATATATTATTATAGTATTTATTATACCATTTCTATAATATATTTGTATTATTATGTATAATTTAATATTATACATAAACACGGTTCATGTGGAGAACATTTAAGATCAAAACTAACTGGGTTATTTAAATGCAACAAGGTAACACAAGTGTTTGTTGATAGTTTTACTGAAAAACATGTAATTGAGTCGCGTGTACATTTAGAAATAAGTAATGAACTAGTTACATGTGCTTTTCACAAACAGAAGAATGGCAAATACTGGTATGTACCAAAGCAATGTTTTCATCCATGCTTTACATCCAAAGTTCCTCCAACAAATAAGGGACAGACAAACAAAAAGATCTCCGAAAAGCAACAAGATCAGCTGCGCAGAATTCACTGAGACAACATGTTTCTAAATCATGACCAAATAGAGAATGATCCTACTTACACATTTGATTTAGTGTCTCCAGAAAGCTCTTTTTCTTCAGAAAATTTTAATGAATTCTTAGCGGCATGCACTCTAAATATAAGCCCTGTGAAATGGCATATTAGAAAAACACATATCAATCAGGCATCAACTTCTACAACCAACTACCATAAAAGAAAGTTGAATGAAGCTGTAGATAACTTCAAAAAAATCTATTCTGAAAAAGTAGCACCAGGACAAGGAGGCCAATTTTTGGAGATTATGGAAGAATCAATGCAACCATTATCAGTTATTCCAGATGATTTTATACTGCAACATGAAGCTTATCAAAACACTCAAACATTCACCAAAAAAGTACTTATTTTTTCCACAATACCACCACTACAAAATTATTCAAAAGAATATCTCATAAAAACTTTTAAATGTAACAAGTAAAACTATTTAAATTAACATCATTTGATTATTTTTTTATTTTCGAAAAAATATTTAACTTTTTTTTTTAGGTACACAATTGATATGGCCAGGAAAAAAAGAAGGGAAACAGGAGCACTAACATTTAAACAAAACAAGAAGTTAACTTGTCAAAAAATGAATATGGAATTTGCAACACACTTCCTAAATTATATATTTACATCAGTACCTGTTCTAGATATAACTTATGGAACAAGCAAAATTACTTTAACCGATGGACATCAACAGGTATATTATTTACACACAACTTATTTTTCTAGCAAGCCAAATTCAGGTATTTGACATTAAATAAAATGTGTTTGATGATTTCTGATGCCACTTGCAAATCAATCATGTTGTATGTTTTGGTGCACAGCTTCTTATACCTTATTTTCAAGAATGGGTCTTTAAAATATCAATAAATTATTCTAAATATTATCTTATTTTCATTCCGTAGATACTACCTAAAGCTGTTCTAAAAATGAATGTTAGAACAGCTTTGGTTAGTATCAATCAAATACAAACCATAAATTTGTATCAAAATTATTGTAAATCAATAAACCAATGTTTTATCAGATTCATTGCTCTGGGAAATTCTTTAATTAATTAAACTAAGCCAACAGCATTCACTAGCAAGCCATGTAGATACGACATGGGAAAGCATAAATAAGCATAAAATAAGAAAGCCTTTTGATAAAAAGTTTGATAAAAAAAGGTTAATGTTAATGCATATCCACTGCTTTTTTTACAAAAATGATGCTGGTGATTTAAAGAAAAAGGTATATCACACAATAATGCAAAAAAGTGATCAGGATGCAAGATACACTTTATGTGTGGCTGACCAAGTAGTTGACAAGTTTACTAAAGGTGTTCTAAGTGTAAAACAGATATACAAAAAAAGTAATAATGGTGTAAGAATATAATTATTAAAATTACTGCTAAAAAACAAAAGCCTTGCAATTTAATTGCATGTTAGGTGGAGGGGGTATTAATTTAGGCTTTTGTAATGTATAATGATATAATGTACTTTTTTATCCACAACTAGATTTTATAAATCTAGTTGTTGATAAAAAAGTGCCATGCAGCCAACTCAGTTGCTGAAATGTTGTTTTGTATTTGCAAGGTGAAAGGTGTACTCCTCTTAAGATATGATTACAATAAGCCACAAAAAGATAGAGAATAATTTGATCGCAAAAGTGCTGTTGCTAAAAGATACATCAATGCATATGTCAACACTGGTAATAATTGTTCATCAGTCCAGGACATTAAAAAAGGAATTTTGTTTTTTGGAGGTTCAAAAGATTCAAAAGTATCAGTGGTTAAAATATTACAAGTTAAAATCAGTTAATGATAGCAAGATAACGAATATCAGTTGGAGAAGTAACAGGACATAAAACAACACCAAAAAAAGTTCTCTTCAAAATGAGGACAGTGAAAGATAAAAAAGGTGTCAAGTTATTTAGTCATACTCAATACCTTAGTTGACAGCAAATTCTCTCTTCATTCAGTAGAATGTCCAAAATTTACCAGCAAGGTTAGCTTAAAAAATCTGAACAAGTCAAAGCTATTGAGGACTTTGCAGAAGAAATAGTAGAAAACATATTTGCAAATGACATTAAAAATATAGTTATTGAGATTTTATTCAATGTTGAGAAACTAAATATTGTAAACGTTGGACAGTTTGTTCTTGTAGCAAGGAGTTTTGAAAATCAAACAAATCACTCTGTTGGCTAAATTACTAGATGATGATGATGATGATGATGTGCTTATCAACCTCATGGTTATTGGATAAAACTTTTTATTGGTCATACCCCAAACAAGATTTTATTGAAGACAGGTGTAACATCCATAAGATATTAAACATTTCTGAGCAAGAAATGATGGAGCATTTTGTTTTTAGCGTAAACGACATGGAAGTGATAAACAAATGCTGTAGAGAACTAACTTATATTTTTTGATTTGTTTATAGATTTTATAGTGTTTTTGTAATTGCTTTTTACTGTCAAAAGTCTTTTTGAAATAAAGATATCTTCATTTAAACAAAACCACCCATTGAAGTCTTTTAATTTAATAAAAGTATATAGGTGTATAAATCGTTTTCAAAAAACTATAATTCAAAGCTTGTTGGCACATTCATCTTTTGCTTCTCAAAATTAGAATAAATTTTATCTATTTTAAAGCAGGTAAGATTTTGAGACATACAGAATTTGCTTTATTGAACGCCCCTGGGGTAGTTTTGGGTATCAGGTAAAAGTATGTTGCAGATATTTTAAAAACTTTTTTTCCTTAATGTATAAAACTTGATATTATATTTGTTTATTTCCTCTCATCAAACAAGAAGCTGCTTCATCAAAAACATTTCCTCTCATTTCAAACAACTTTTTTAACTACATGAAGTTGCTTCATCAAAAACATTTCCTCTCATTTCAAACAACTTTTTTAACTACATAAAGTTGCTTCATCAAAAACATTTCCTCTCATTTCAAACAACTTTTTTAACTACATGAAGCTGCTTCATCAAAAACATTTCCTCTCATTTTAAACAACTTTTTTAACTACACGAAGCTGCTTCATCAAAAACATTTCCTCTCATTTCAAACAACTTTTTTAACTACATGAAATTGCTTCATCAAAAACATTTCCTCTCATTTCAAACAACTTTTTTAACTACATGAAGCTGCTTCATCAAAAACATTTCCTAGCATTTCAAACAACATTTTTAACTACATGAAGCTGCTTCATCAAAAACATTTCCTCTCATTTTAAACAACTTTTTTAACTACACGAAGCTGCTTCATCAAAAAACATTTCCTCTCATTTCTAACAACTTTTTTAACTACATGAAGTTGCTTCATCAAAAACATTTCCTCTCATTTCAAACAACTTTTTTAACTACATGAAGCTGCTTCATCAAAAACATTTCCTCTCATTTCAAACAACTTTTTTAACTACATGAAGCTGCTTTACAAAAACGTTTCCTCTCATTTCAAACAACTTTTTTAACTACATGAAGTTGCTTCATCAAAAACATTTCCTCTCATTTCAAACAACTTTTTTAACTACATGAAGTTGCTTCATCAAAAACATTTCTTCTCATTTTAAACAACTTTTTTAACTACATAAAGCTGCTTCATCAAAAACATTTCCTCTCATTTCAAACAACTTTTTTAACTACATGAAGCTGCTTCATCAAAAACATTTCTTCTCATATCAAACAACTTTTTTAACTACATAAAGCTGTTTCATCAAAAACATTTCCTCTCATTTCAAACAACTTTTTTAACTACATGAAGCTGCTTCATCAAAACATGGAAAACTTCAACATTTTATTAAACTTCAAACCCTAATTACTTTTAAATCGCTTTGAATTATTGTCTCAAATTTTCAGGTTTTTCTCATCAAATCATTTGAAGATATCCCTAAATTTTTCAACAAAATCCAATAACTCAACTTTTTCAAGTAGCTGATTTTGTGTCATTCTTATAAAAAAGAACTCTTAATCAAACAATACATCATATTCCAAAACATCATATATCATCTTGTACATCATACTTTATGCCATCATCCAACACATCATACATCATAGCCCAACATATCTTACATCATAGCCCAACAGATCATATATCATAGTTCAAAACACCATATATCATCTTGTACATCATACTTTATACCATCATCCAACACATCATACATCATAGCCCAACATATCTTACATCATAGCCCAACAGATCATATATCATAGTTCAAAACACCATATATCATAGTCCAAAACATCATATATCATCTTGTACATAATACTTTATACCATCATCCAACACATCATACATCATAGCCCAACATATCTTACATCATAGCCCAACAGATCATATATCATAGTTCAAAACATCATATATCATCTTGTACATAATACTTTATACCATCATCCAACACATCATACATCATAGCCCAACATATCTTACATCATAGCCCAACAGATCATATATCATAGTTCAAAACACCATATATCATAGTCCAAAACATCATATATCATAGTCCAAAACATCATATGTCGTAGTCTTATACATCATACACAATAGTCCAAAATATCAAATACTATTGTCAAACACATCATACATCATAGCCCAATACATCATGCAAAAGTTTAATTTAGTTATCAAGCATTTTTTTTATAATTTTAGCTTGATTTTTTTGTTTAAATTATTAAAAGCAAAAACTATTACTGTTATAAATAATATTGCATAGTATAATTTTTTGTGATTAATGGTTTGGGCTATTGTTTTTCGGTGATTAATGGTTTGGGCTATTGTTGTTTGTGATTAATGGTTTTTGGGTTGTTTAAAGTTAGTGGTTTTTAGTTTTATAGAGATTGGTGTTTTGTGCAGTTTTATGTTTAAGTTTAGGTATTATAATTTGTGGAGATTAGTGGTTTGGGTAGTGTAATTTTATAATTCTATAAGAGCATTTGTTTGTGTTGTTTGGTTTTTAAAGATTTGTTCATTTGTGGAGATTTGGTGGTTTAATAAGTGCAATTTGTGGAGATTTGGTGGTTTGATTAGTGGTGGCACACTTATTAAAACAAACAAACAAACAAACAAAAAAACAATTTAAAATTTTTCCAATTATAATATAAATTTTTTTTTTTACATTTTTTGTTTAAGATGAATTTGTATAAATAGATATTGTTTGATATTTTGTTAAAATTTTGTAAAAATAATTTATAAATCAGTTTTTAATACTGATTAAGATGTTTATGTCAGCTGGTTTATCAATTAAATTTTTTTTTTAATTTTATTGATTTCTAGCTTAGTCTTGCTTCAATACATTATCTTAGAAGTCATTTTCAAGAAGCAATTGACATTTACAAAAGAATTCTTTTGGATAACAGGTTAATTAATGTTTATTATATGTTTTAATTATATTTAACTTATGCCAATAGAGTTGTGGCAGAGAGGCTAGGCTTATGCCAATAGAGTTGTGGCAGAGAGGCTAGTTGTGGCTAGAGATGTGCTTAAGCCAAGAATTTGCAGAAGCCATTTTGCCAAAGCTGAAATCTAATATATATCACTAATTTTTAACAATATTCCTACCCAGCCCTTTGGTCTTAAAAAGACATCCATTGAATGTTTTTTGAATGTTCTGAATGTCTTTTGAAATTTCAAAGATGTTTTTTTTTAGATCAAATGCCAACTAAATAAATATATGTATATATTGTAAAACTACAATTGCATTTCTTTTAATGCACAAGATATTTCATTATCACTTTGTAAACTATTTATCATGGTTATTATAAAATACTCTTGCAAGGTTAAGAAGTTTGAGTATATAGATTTGCCTTTTCGCTATTTATTTTTTTATATAATTTACAAAATTATAGTCATACAAAGGAAACAATACAAGAAGCAGTTGCATATAGACATTAATATTTTATGTGGGTTATTAATATTTTATGTGGGTTATTAATATTTTATGTGGGTTATTAATATTTTATAAAATGTTATCAGAAACTACTTAAATTAACTACTAATTAGTAACTCATTACTTATTAGGTAAATAATACAAGGTATAAAGTAAAGTCTTTGACTCAGCAGCTTTAATTACTTATATTTATGTATTAAATATTCTAATTTGAACTTTGAATCCATTGAGTTTAACATTTGAGAATTGACCTTTTAAGTTTGAAATTAGATTTTGAACTTTAAATTATATACAAAACTCTTTGCTAATTAATAGTGTTTAATTATTACTGCTTAGTGAACGAATAAATGCATGGGTTATGAACTTGATTCACTTCATTACATCAATTTAATCAAACCTAATAAACTATAAGATTGCAAACATTAGTTTAAAGTATAGTAAAATCACTTAGTCAAATGAGTGAATTAAATAAATTTTATTCAAGATATTAGTCTGTTATGAATTAAATAAGTACTATTCAATAAAATTAAGCATATTTTAATTTAAAAATGCAATCTGTTCTCCATGTTCAGGCAAAAGCCTGTTGTTTTTAGTTTCAAATATATTTCCAGTTGTACTAAATAGGCGTTTACTTTTAACAGATGAAGGAGGTACGCACAAAGCCTCTCTTGAAAACCTTGCCAAATCCCACTTATAAGTGTCTGCTCGTAGTTGTATGCACCCTACCACTTAAAAGAAGGTTCATTCCTTTGCTGTGTAGGAAGGCTATAATAGAAGTTGACTTCATCCATGCTGAAACATAAATTGTAAATCATAATTTAAAGTTCAAATTAAATTTTTAAATCTTTAATTAATTAATTAAATCAAAATTATCAAATGTAAAAAAAAAAAAAAAACTGGAAAAATAGAAAATAATCTGCATATCAATAATCCATTAGATTTATAATTTTAAAAATACAAATTTTTAGCTAAATAAATTCTTATTCCTTATCATTTTTCTTTGACAGTTTGAGTTTCTCTTAAATTGTACTTTTATTTTATTTTTTCTCCGTCAGTGTTTCCACAGTTTTGTGATTCTCATTTGTACCAATTTAGTGGAAGAAGCTGTATATATCCACTCTCATTAGTTTCATCTTTTTATCCGGAACATTGTAACCATCAAGGTCAGAGTCAGACTCTTGAAGTTGTAAACATGGATATGGTTTACTTATTTGATTTTATGATTCTTCTGTCTTATTGATTACCATCTGAAACAGTTTGTTGTAACTATAAATAAAAGCGATAGTACTCTTGATATAGAATTTCTTTAAACATACTATGATTCATTTTTTCAACAAATTTATATTCAAAATATGGATCAAACATTGCAAATTTTATAACAATTTTCTTTTAAAAACGGCTATTAAAATCTTTTTTAAGTTCATCAACAACAGTTTTGTGTTGCTGTGTCACAAGCATAGTGAAGAAACTTTGGTATTGCAATACAATGTAATTTTTTCTTCTCACAGAACCTCTTAAGCATATATGTTGAGTTCCATCTGGTGGAGACATCTTGAATTATATTGTGCTCTGGTAATTTTAGTTGGATTTGAATTTTCTTAAACTTTGCCACAGCACTTGGCAAATGGTGGAAATGCCAATGATCAAAAAACAGTAATTGTGTCACTTGTCCTGCCAATGTTCGAAAAACAGCAATTGTATCACTTACTGCTATTTGTTCTCTAAAGATCTTTTTCTGAATACAAAGTTGTAAAGTATGTATGACACATGGTAGGTGTTTATCTTTCAAATGGGACACTTTAATAGCAGACATATTATTGGCTGCATTATTAGTTAACAATGCGTGAATCTTTTCATGCGGAATTTCCAAAGTTTGCAACGCTTCATTAAGAAATTTGCTAATATTATGCCCTGTGTAAGACTCTGAGAAATATGTGACTTGTAAGATGACATGTCAAATATTATAATCATGTGTCACAAATCTAGCAGTTAAACTGTATAAGGATTGGATTGTGTGCTGCCATGTCCAACCATTATAAGTTTAACTGATAAAATCTTTACTTTGGCTTTTATTGTTTCATACATCAGTGGAATCACTTAAAGAGATGTGGAGAAATGCTTTCAACTAGGTATTGTATAATTTGGAGCTAAATTTTTTAAAAGTCAAGTAAAACCTTTTCCCTCCACAATGCAGTATGGCTGCAAATCTAATCATGTCACCAATTAGTTTTGTAAGACCTTGAGTAGTTAGTTTGGTAAGACCTACTACTTTGCACTAATTCAACAGAGTTTTACTTTTCTAAGCATATTGTTTAAGTAGTGTTAAGTTGTCTTAGAGACATTTGACTTGATCTGGTGTAGCTTCACTATTAACAATTTTAATTAAAGCAATTATGATTATGAGGTGCACTTTTTAAAGATGGTTTGTAAGTTTAACACCTGCCCCATATTAATGGGCAGGTGTTACAATATATTGAACTTTGAATTTAATTGGAAACACCATCTGTATTTAGAGTTTTTTTTTTGCATGTTTAATTTTTGGCTTGTTGTTTTATATTTTGCTTTGTATCAATTGTCTTGTTCAAGAAACAATTTAATAAACAAAAAAAGATTTTTTTGCTCATGAAACTACTAACCATGCTTCAATAAAACTTCAATTAAACAAACTCATTTTTATTTGTAGAAGTTATCTGAGACTGAATAATAGCATAATGAAGAATAATAATTTTACCAAAAAATATCTTTCTGCTGACTTATAAAATATTCATAAAAACTATGTTAGTATTTGTAGAATAGTAAAAGAAATGTAATCTTACAATTGTATTTGTAGAATAGTAAAAGAAATTAAACCTCACAATTGCGGTCCCATTGTTGATCTGCTCAAGCTTAATAGGTCTAATTATATTAGCAATGTATTTTTAAACCTTGTCTGCAATGAGTAAATACATCATTAGGAGGACAAGCTCAAATATGGAAAAAGTATTCCATACAGGTAGAAATAAGAGATATAACAACAATATTCAGGTAGAAATAAGAAAAAAGAAAATGGTATCAGAAGTAAAAAATGGAAACCATGATAAAGAATGTCTTTCTTACCTTTGCAAATACTAACTTTGGGTTGTAATAATGGATTGTATAAAAGATTTACTTGAGAAGTCAGTTATGAAGAATAGTTTAGTAAAATGTAAATTAAAGGACTCAGTAAGAATCCTGTCATTCATCAGTATAAAAACATCAACAATATTGTGGTATCTACTAGCAGTAAACTAGTGTTTGTTTAAGTTAAAATTCACTGGCTACTGAGTCTTAGGCTGCCAAAAGAGAAGATCTGCTGTTTGTGCTGATCTATCAAAAAGTGATGACTTTTTCTTAAAGTTAGAAAATATTGTCAGCAACAAGATTAGAAAATATTGTCAGCAAATTGAGCCAAATTAGTGGTAAAATTATCAAGATTAATAATAATTTTAATGAGAAACTAAACAGAACAATGATTCAAGAAAGACCTTGTTAATATTAGTGAGAAGACACATTAGGTGATAGTTAGAGATGTCAAAGTGATCTCCAGAGATTTTAAAAATTAAACCTAGTCTTAATTTTTAAAAAGTAATTTTAATTTTTTAAGTAAGATACTTGAACTGTATTTTTTTGAATAGTGTTTTAAAAATATTTGGCGTTGTACCATTATTAATTTTGTACATAATAATTAAATGATATATATTTATTTGGTAAACATTTAAATAACATTTAAATTTTTAGATAAATAGTTTTTAAAAAAAAGTATTTTTTTCTAAAAACTATTTAAAAAGGTACCGATACCCAAAATTTTAAGAATAGCCCTTGTATATATAATCATAAAAGTTTATATTTAATTTTTTTAAAGGGAGTATTATGCATTAAATGTTTATGTGGCATTATGTTACTACAAACTTGATTACTTCGATGTGTCACAGGTAAGAATTTTTTATATTATCTCATAAAAAATGTGTGCACGTTTACTACAAATATTAATGTATAAATATAGTTATATATGTGGTAATTGTAGGTTTAAACACATGGTATACACATGTGTGCAGATATATACACAGATATATATTATATTTTGTTTCAAATTAGGAAGTTCTATCAGTGTATCTGCAACATTATCCTGATAGGTATGTTTTTTTTGATGATAGTAATAATGATGATGATGGTGATGATGATGATGATGATGATGATGATGATGATGATGATGATGATGATGATGATGATGATGATGATGATGATGATGATGATAGTGATGGTGGCAATGATGATGGTGATATTAGTAATGGCTAATATATTAGAAATGCTGATGATGGTGGTTATGATTGTTTAATTTTCCTTTTAGTGCGATTGCAATTAACTTAAAGGCATGCAATCACTTTAAACTTTATAACGGAAAAGCTGCTGAGGTTTCAAATTTTTTATTTTTTAAAATATTTTATTCAATTCAATATTTTATTCAAATAAACATTTAGGTTTTAAACTGGTAGATTATTATATTTAAATTAGATTGTCAATAGGTTGATTTTATTTAGGGATCGTCCATAAATTATGCAGCGCTAAATTTAACTAATAGACAAAACCAAAATGGTCAAAAGTGAGTCTTTAATTAAACCAAAAATTAAAATAGCAATTTAAGTTCAAAAAAACCGCCATGCAAAAAAGTAAATGATCTCCTACATTTATTTTTTAAACAAGTTTAATGTTTCCTAATTTATGGACGATAGGCTTTATTTTAGATCCTATCATGTAGTTTTTATTAACAATAATAAATGTTTTGTTAATATTATTATATATATATATATATATATATATATATATATATATATATATATATATATATATATATATATATATATATATATATATATATATATATATATATATATATATACATATATATATATATATATATATATATATATATATATATATATATATATATATATATATATATATATATATATATATATATATGTATGTATATTATTATTATTATTTCCTTTATAAATAAATACAATATCTAGGTATTTATGAGTTCTTACAAAAACCCGAAAAAGATTTCTTTAGCCATATCGACTTTGGGTGCAAAATTTGCAGCTTACGCGAGTTCCTAAGATTTTTAACAATAGTTCTGACTGAAAATAATGATTTAATAGGATGATCAGACAATGTGACAACTTTTTTTATTAATCTGAGGCAAATGCCTTTAAGACGTTTTGCAGGTTGATTGAGCTTGGGCGTTTGTTGCATAAAACAGAAGCGCGTTTTTCTATGGTAGACAGTTTCATAAGTTGAGAGATATCACAGAACGCAGGCCAAGCGTAAGCCATATGTGAAAAAACTAATGCAAGATATGTTTTCCATGTTAAATCATTAGGAATACCATATGATACCAGGCGATGGGTAGCCGACATTCCGGCGCAACATTTCTGAATAACGATTTTGAAGTGAGAGTCCCATTTAAGGTCATTTTGTAAAGTCACTGCCAGCGACCATTATTGACAACCCCTTGTCACCCTCTAAGGAAAAATCAATCAATTGAGTTTTTTCATTATTGACATGCATTTTTGCACGTAGTGACCAACTTAGCAAATTATTCACTTCTTCCTGTGTGTTATCGATGTTATTACGGCCAACATAATGTAATAGCGTGGTGTCGTCGGCGTACAAGTTTAATAGACTTCTTGAATTATCAAGTACCGACATTCCGTTAACTACCATAGCAAAAAGAAATTTGAATATTGATGTAGACACATGAAATGAATATTGATGTAGACACATGAAAGTTTATTTAAAATATACCTTTAGTACTAAAATGAATTTATTTAAGTCATTTTTATGAACCCCTTCTTTCCTGTCACAAACAATACCTAACCATATACTTCTCCCTCCTAAACTGTGATAGCAGTTTTTAAATCAAAAATATTTAAAGAGATTTTAAATGTAAATACATTACATTTTAATAATTCAACTTAATGAATATAAGGCAATAAGTATAAACGTAATTAATATAATAAAAACGTAAAAAGTATAAACGTTAAGGCAATAAGTATAAACGTAAAAGTGTAAGTAAAAACTTTGACAAACCAAAGATTTTCATATTTAAATGACTTAATAAGCACGAATAAAGTTGTAATACTAAATAATTTTTTAAAGTTGCTCTTGGTCTTGTGGAAAAACTTTTTTCGATTCGAAAACTTTCATAAATGTTATGAAAAATCACTTAGGAAGAATGCCTCCAGTTCTTTCCTTTGTTAATTATTTTTAATGAATGAGTTCAACACTTGCAATTTTTTTTTTTCTTTTACATAACTCTAACTCTTAATAATAGATATAAAAAATTCATGTTAAATAATAGATATAAAAAATCCATTCTTAAAAATAGATATAAAAAATATTAATTGCTTGGTAACATAAGTGATGTAAGTTTATTTTTCCATTTTTAACTTACGTTATTTATGCAATAAGTTTTACGTTTATCTTCAGATCTTGGCTGAATTTTCATATATCCAAATGTTTTGTACTTTTTAATCAGATTGCTGGTGGTTCTAATGACATTCCAGTAGCTTTTCTTATTGAACTAATTGTTTTAATTAGCTTGAACAAGTCAATAACCAAATTGCGCTTAGCTTGTGACAATTCCTTGATTTTAACTTCCATACTTAATGATATCAATGGTAAATCAAATTAATTTGAAAAATATCAGTCAGTTATTAAAAGTTACTTGTTATTAAACAACAATATTTCTAAAGCTATTGATTAAATTTTTTTTTTTAATAATCAATTTCAAAATTTTGTTTTTATTTAAGAGATTGTTAAATTTTAGCACAAGTTAATGTAGATTTATTTTTGTTAAATTTAAAATCGTGATTAAATTTACTTTCAGAATAATTATAAAAGCATTTGTAATTATTCTGAAATTTTTTTTCGAAATAACTTGATGTTTATTTTTCACTGATTATTTATCTGACTGTAACACTTTTATTGTGAAATCCTTAATTGTTGTAATAATTCTTAAACATCCTGCATTATATCACAATAAGAAAGTATAAATCATTTTTTATGAGCAGTAAAAACTTTAATAATTTTTTGTTTGTCAAACTTTTTATCAAATAAAGATGTTAATAAATAAAATGGATAGCTAGTGTGAAAATCCAAAAGAATTACTCACCTAAAGAATTTTTTCATGGCACGATAAATGACGTTAGTTATGTATTCTTTAATGTTACAATGCTTGTAATGAGTATAAAATTTTGTATTTAATAAACAATTTTTTTTTAATGAATAAACTAATAGCTTTATAAAATATTTGATGCATGACCCTAAATGTGTCCTATGTGGTAAAATAACACTAGATTTAAAACACACAAACAAAAACCTAAGTTAAAAGTTTAGGAACAAACTTTGAGTTTCTTGATCACATAACCTCAATAACTTTGAGTAGGTTAAAACATTAGTAGCATGGTTGTCACATACAATAGCTAACTTTGAAATCACTCCTAATTAAAATATTCTTAGAAGTTTTTTTCTCTTAACCTCACAGTATTGTAAATATATTTTATATTAACCTCACAGTATTGTAAACATATTTTATATTAAACAATAATATTCTTTAATAAAATTTTATTTTCCATCAGTAATTTTGGAACTTTCAAAGTTCGTAAATTTTTTTAAGTTTTGTTTAATTAATTTTACCTCCCTTTATCTAATTTAAAAAGGAAACTGAAGGTAAAGGAAACTTTTTCCAGATTTTTATATGATTGAATTGATGCAGCAGCAGCCACATTAGATAGTATCACCTGAATAATTTTTTTAATCAAATAATGTTTAATTTAATAAAATGTTTAAAAAAAACCTTCCTACTTGTGATTTAGATTACAAAGAAAGGTTTTTAGATGTGTTATCCTTACAAAGTTTACATTTACCCCATGTCTTAATCAAGTGGGAAAAGGTACAGGAAACTTTAATAAACAAATTCTCGTGTAAGTCTTTGCAATTTTGATACAGTCCATAACTTCTGGGTAGGAATCATCAAGTTAGTAAAAAACAATATATTTTGAAAAAGTAATATCCTGAAGGGTTTTTCATTTTATCAATTGGTTCTAAATTAAGTAAAAAAAGCATTTGTTTAAAATGATTTATATCTTCTTAAAAACTTTTTTAAAGAAATTAGATGTTTTTATAGAATCTGAATAAAAAAATAGAAACTAGTTAAAATGTTTTAATCAAATAGAATCGTTTACCTTGTTTTATTATAATGTATGTATGTATGTATGTATGTATGTATGTATGTATGTATGTATGTATGTATGTATGTATGTATGTATGTATGTATGTATGTATGTATGTATGTATGTATGTATGTATGGATGCATGCATGTATGTATGTATGTATGTATATATTATATATATATATATATATATATATATATATATATATATATATATATATATATATATGTATATATATATATATATGTATATATATATATATATATATATATAATATATATATATATATATATATATATATATATATATATATATATATATATATTTTAATTACAAAGATATATAAATATGTAGCATGAGCATAGTTATTCTTTGAAAAAACTACATTTGTCCATAAATTTATATTACTATAGGATTTGTGTTTTTATAATTGGAAACCAATTATAAAAACGTAAAGCTAATTTAGCACAAATAAAAAAAATTATTTGAGAAAAACATCAAATCGTTATATAAAAGATTATTTTCTATAAAGATCATTATATAAAAGTTGTGATAATTTTCTTAATGTTTTAGTAATTAATTTTTTTAGGCTGATTTAAAGTCTCTTCAAGAAATAACTAGTCCATCATTTACTTATGCAAAAGATATTATAAAGCACAATATGGTAAAAATGTTTCAAGAAATAGTTATTTATTTAATATAAAATTGTTTATTGTTAATTAATATATAACTTATAATTTCATTTTTTTTGTGTGCTTTTTTATTTTGTTATTATTTTTTTATGGTTAATGTATAACAGCATATGTTATACATTACCCATAATATTTTATTTTAATTATTTTATAAAAATTTTTGTTATTTATAGACATGCAAAATAATCTTTTTAGTTGAGTAATTGCTACTTTCTAACAATTTTTCTATCTTGTTTCACTGCAAGCTTTAATTATTAAATTGCAACTTATTAAATCACTATTGTGATTTGTACCAGATTATTTGGAATAAAAAAAGATTTGAGTGGGTTTAAGGTCAGGAGCTATTGTTTTTGTCAATTATGGCTGCAAAGTTGTCTTTACACAATTTCCAGGAAGGGACTGAGGTGCAGGTGTGAGCAGTTGTAAGATCTTGCTGAAATATTCACCTATTATTTGGTTGATGGATTTTTGACCTGCTTACAAACTTTTTTGATACAAACTTTATGCTTTACCATTCATTTGTCCAAGACAATGAATGATGTTATTGCTTTTGAACAGACCATAATTTATAAGTATGGTCAGCATTCCAAAATTGTGCTTTGAAAAAGCAGAAAGAATCACAGAGCAACAAGACTATCAAAGTTATTCAAAAAGATTTCATATCAAGACTAAATGTAACTTGAAATAAGAAGAAAAAGAGGAGACCTAATACAGCTATTTCAGATGTCTAATAACTATGAAAAAGTAAAACTAATAAACAAATCAATTTTTTGCCTGGCAAAAACAAAAAAAAAAAAAAAAAAAATGAAATAAAATATTCATGAGATATTCATCCAACAGATCAGCACACATATGGAACAATTTTAAAAAATAATTCATTGAAATGATAAAACTTAAATAATTTCAAAGTTAAAGATTTAGAAATGAACAATTAAAGCTGTTGGAGAATCATGCTGCAGTCACAGCTAAACAATTCTTATTTTTCTGCAAAAATGTTGCTGAAACATAAAAAGAAACTATGAAATTCGTTGACTTAATATATTAGAGCATAGAATAAATATTTTTTAAGGAAGTTGCACTACTTAACCTGAAACTTTCAATCAACTATGGTAGACAATGTCAATAAATGATTGAAGAAATAGTTTAAGTTATTTTTTAAAAAGCAAAATAAAAAACCTGAT